ACGTAAATATGTAACACATATTTAATTTAGATTTGTGTAATGTTAATCTTACTAAAATATTAAATTTTTATAAAAATCTTAATTTAGACTAATTCCAAAAATCGGCACATATGGTTTCTTTTTTTAAATTTATAAGTTTAGCTTTTCTGGAGGGAATTTTTGGACGGTAAGTTAGTTTTTTGGGAGTTGAGTTTTAAATTTAACTTCAAGAAACGTACTAATGTTTCTTTTTTTAAATTTTGTAGGTTTTAGCTTTTCTTTTCAGACGGTAAGTTTGTTTTATAGGAATAGAGTTTTGAAATTGACTTCAAGAAACGTACTAACATTTCTTTTTTTTAAATTTTGTAGGTTTTATGGTGGTCGTCACCTATAAACAACAATATTAATAATAGTCCAAAATTTAAAATTTTATTTATTTATATTGTGTAACTTATTTTTAAAGTACTTTGCTAAAATATAATAATTGCCACGTAAGCGGCAAAATTTTTTTTTGCTATATTACATGGAATTTTTGTGGATTTCCATGGAATTTTTGTAAAATCCATAAAAATTACATAAAAACTAGTCTGAAATTTTATGTTTTTATTATGGCTACTTATTAAAATTATCTAACTTTAACCCATAATATTAATTAAAATTCTTATTAAATTCTATAAAATAATCTTATAGAAATGTTTAGTACATGTTTTTTTATCATTTTATCTGTTTAGTTTTTTCTTTTTACTATTCAATTTACAATTTATAAAAATTTGAAGTCACATAATTAAGGTTGCTTGCCGAAACCTAGGGGTTTAGGCAAGATGGCGTTTCGCCGAAAAGTGAAATTCTGCCGAAACTATATTAAAGTTATATTAAAAAACTGGTGAAACTTTGGAGAAAGGTGAAACTGCCAAAACTTATTATAAATGCCGAAACTGCCGAAACTCTGCCAAAACTATAATAAATCTATAGTAAAATTTTGACGAAACTAATCGTAGGATTTTGAAGAGGTTTAGACAAGCAACCTTACACATAATATTAGTGTGGTTTATAGGTGACGGCCACCATAGCTTTTCTGGAGGGGACTTTTGGAATGGTAAGCTAATTCTTTGGAAGTAATGTTTTGAAATTGTCTTTAAGAAATATGCTGATTTTTTTTAAAAAAAAATTTGTAAGTTTCAGCATTGTGGATACCTTTAGGACTCAATATACTGTTTTTAGGGTTTCAGAATTGAATTTAACGTTTCTTTTTTTCCAATTTTGTAGGTTTTATCGTCAGAAACACCTTTAAGATATGGCTCAAATTATTATTGTAATTCAAGCTGGCGACAACAATTTCAATCTTCATTTCATGGACTTAATATTCCTAAGTTTCAACAGACTGTACAGCGTCATTTTTCCTCGCAAAAACAATGGATGCGATACCTTTTGAACGATCATTTTGATCAAAGTTAAGGTTAACTTAACGTACAGACTGATCATCATTGAGGAAAATTCCCAATGATTTGCTTCTGTGACTTTATAGGCGAGGTATGAAACAAGAATTTTCCTTTTAGTGATGCGTTAAGATTTAGTGGTGCCATAGCAGCAGTATTACTGTAAGGTCGAAGTCTAACTTGTGAAGATCGAGGATTTCTGACATGGCTGCCAGAATGCTTAGCGATCCTCTTGATGGCCTTTAGAGTATGAACTTGGAACTGAAGTTTAAATAATGAGAAACGGGTATAAGGAAATAACCACATGGTATATGAAGAAAATTGTAAATTATTCAATTGAAATAATCTACTAAGAAATAAATATTCCTACGGGTGAGATGTTTTTAAGATGTAGCTTTTAAGAAATTTGCTAGTGTTTTATTTTTATAGATTCCAACTTCTCTAGGACGAAATTCTGGATGGTAAGTTGTTTTATTTGAGGTGGAGATGCTATTGGCTTTTAAAACATATTGACGTTTCTTTTATATTGCTTTTGTAGGTTCAGTTTTCTGTATTAATTCCGGAAATTTGAGCCTTTTTCGGAAAAAAAATGGAACTAACGGGAAAATAAAAAGGAAAGAAAAGGGGAAGGGAAAAAGGACTCTTGAGACACTGGTACATTTTTTTGGGCAGTTTTTGAAATTGACTTTAAAAAACATTTATTAACATATTCTTTCTCATTTTTGTAGGATTCGGTCACAATATTTTGGATAACAGGGTATAAGTTTTGAAATTGAGCTTTTGTTTTTCTTGTTTTTTAGTAAATTTGTTTCAAAATTTAATTTTTCTTTTTTTTGGGTTTTTTTATAGAATTTGGCTTCGATTCTTGAGCAATGAAACAGTAAATTTCAATTTTAAAATAATTTTTCTTTTTTACATACATCAACTAAATAATTTATCAATAACAATAGTCTAATTTTGACACAGACGGGTTCTCCTACTAAAAGTTTGGATAGAAGGATTACAGTCAACTCCCTCTATAGTCACTCCTGTTATAGTCACATTCTACTATATAATCACACAAGTTGAATGTTCAAAACACTTTATTATTAAAATCTATCCTATATAGTCACAATCTATCTATAGTCACTATCACACCTATCCTCAAAAATCTTATATTAAAAAGAACCGTTTATAATCACAGTTATATAAAGAATATATTAAATAACTTGGCATCTAATAATTGTACAAAGATGTATCATAGCTTGTTAGAATCGTCTCACTGAGACGAATCGAATGGTGGTAG